CCCAGGTTCCATTCTGATCAAGGGCACATGCCTGGGTTGTGGGCTTGATCCCCAGTAGGGGGTGTGCCGGAGGCAGCTGATCAATAATTCTCTCTCATCATTGATGTTTCTCTCCCTCTCCTTTTCTCTGTCTAAAAACCAATTTAAAAAAAACATTAAAAAAAAAAAAGGCGATACAGCTAAAGGGCAGAGCCAGTACCCAGACCCCGGCCATATGCTCCTTCAACCCTCAGTCCCCAGTGCCCTCTCCCCCATTCGATCATGAGACGTGGTCGTTGGGCTCCCCACAATAACTGGCGGGGAGGGAGGTTGGCCCTAAAGGTAGAAAACAAAGCAACTCCCAACAGACACATACATTTCTGCCAGTTTATTGATCATTGAAGCATTTCCATGGAGAAAAGGGGTTCACTTGTGTTTTGTAAAAAAAAAAAACAACTTTGGATGACACTGTTCTATTTCTGGTATCCACTGTCCATTTCACACATAAACACTGAAAATGGTCCCTGTCTGGCTCTGTGCCATGAAATCTCGACATCAAGGTTTATTCCTTTACAAGAAGAGACGCCAGGGGTGTAACACTCGAATCTATAAAAAGTACCAACTAAAAGTCACCGTCACCACGGCAACGCACCGCCTGGGCGAGGAGCCTCAGAGGCGCAGCCCTTTGGAATGAGCCTCCGCAGACGAGTGAGACCTGCACGGAGTGGATGTTCCATCTCCGCGAGCACCTGGACCCTCATTCCTCGGCTCAGAAGTAGGCCTCAGCCCTGGCCGGGTTGCTCAGTGGTTAGAGCGCCGACCCTCGAACTGAGGGGTTGCAGGTTCAATTCCCGTTCAAGGGCATGTACCTGAGTTGCAGGTTTGATCCCCGGCCCCGGGGCAATTGCAGCCGGCAAAACTGATCAATGTCTCTCTCTCTCTCTCTCTCTCTCTCACATTGATGTTTCTTCTCTCTCTCTCTCCTGCCTCTCCTTCTCCCCCTCCCTCCATTCCTTCCACTCTCTCTAAACATTAATGGGAAAACATCTCTCTCACCAGAGATATGTTTTCCCATTGATTTCTAGAGAGAGTGGAAGAACGGGAGGAAGGGGAGAGAGAGAGAGAGAGAGAGAGATATCAATTGGCTGCCTCTCCCAGTCGCCCCTACTGGGGCTGGGGAACCTACAACCCAGGTATGTGCCGTTGACTGGGAATTGAACCCACAACCCCTTGGTCCTCAGGCCAAAGCTCTCACCACTGAGCTCACCGGCCAGGGCTCCTCCCCTTTTCAAGGCTGTATAACAGTCCATCGTGTGTACAGACCACAATTCACAGAGTAATGTTCGTCCTGTGCTTAACCTTGCTTTGCCTGTGGGAAGAAAATGTTTTCTGAAAAGGCTTAGATTTTTTGCTCAGCTTGTGACACTAATATCTCTGGGTAAATGATCTTCTTTAGTGTCCCGTACAAAATATTGCCAAAGAAGCCCAAGCTGTTTGGCTCAGTGGATAGAGCGTCAGCCTGCGGACTGAAGGGTCCCGGGTTCAATTCCAGTCAAGGGCACATACCCGGGTTGTAGGCTTGATCCCCATTGTGGGGCATGCAGGAGGCAGCCAATCCATGATTCTCTCTCATCATGGATGTTTCTCTCTCTCTCTCTCCCTCTCCCTTCCGCTCTGAAATCAATAAAAATATATTAAAAAATAATAATAAATAAAAATAAACAAGAAAATCCTCCTATAATATGCAGGCACCCCTATCTGCTGGCATTTGCAGCAACACGAATCCCAAAGGCCCCCAGAGCACAAACGTCCAAAGGGAACAAATGAATGGGGGATTGTGCCTCGGGGCGGCCAGCAGGGCCCAGCATCAACGCATAAAGGGCCTCTTGTGTCAGCCGGCTTCCTGGTCAGCTGACTCCGCCGGACACTGTGAGCCCGGCTGCCAGCCGCTCCTTGAACCTGCACCAGCCAACCCCCCTCCACCTACCCCCCCACTCCCATGTGCAACTGGCTCAGCAGGGAACCCTACAAGCCAGTCTGCCCAGGCCCGAGTGCCCATCACTCCTTGGTTGGTGATGCCGCCCAACTCCAGCTGGCCCAGAAGGTAGCAAACGTTGTGCAGAAAACCGTGGGCGATCCTGCAAATCCAACCTGGATGTACCCGTTTTTCCTTTGAATCTCAGAGTGCGGGTTCCCTGCAAAGTGGATTTTGCAGGCATATTGAGATGAAGAATGGGATTTGGCGGGGGAGGGAGAGGAGAGCAGCTCATTTTTGCACTTGATCTTAGCCCAGAAGCCGAGAAGCAGTGGGAACTAGTTACATCGTGGTAAATGCATACAACAACATTGACCGTTGTCACTATCTTACAGGATAGAGTTCAGAGGCATTTAGTCCACACATGTTGTTACATAGCCACCGCCACCATCTAGTTTCAGAATCACTTCTTGTTGTTACTCCTCACCCAAGGATATTTTTTCCCCCTAGTTTCAGAATCACTTCTTGTTGTTACTCCTCACCCCTCACCCAAGGATATTTTTTTCACCATTGATTTTTAGAAAAGGGTGGGAGGGAGGGAGGGAAGAAGGATTGATTTTTAGAAAAGGGTGGAAGGGAGGGAGGGAAGAAGGGAGAGAGAAAGAGAGAGAAATATCGATGTGAGAGAAACACATCAACTAGTTGCCTCATGCACATGCCCCAACAGGTGCTGAGGAATCAAACCTACAACCCAGGTAGGTGCCCTTGACTGGGAATCGAACCGGAGACCCTTCAGTATACAGGCTGCGCTCTAACCACTGACCCACACTGGCCAGAGCCAGAATCCATTTTGAAGACTTCTGCAGGGGCTGGGGAATCAAACCTGCAACCCAGGTATGTGCCCTTGACTGGGAATTGAACCGGAGACTCTTCGGTATACAGGCTGCGCTCTAACCACTGACCCACACTGGCCAGAGCCAGAATCCATTTTGAAAAGACTTCTGCAATTCCAACGATCTTCTCTCCTCTTTTATATATTTAGGAAAATTTTGTTTTTCTTTCTTTTTCTTTTTTTGTTGTTGTTGTTGTTCAACTAGGATCCATGTGATCTACCCAGTCTCGAAGATCTTCTCATGCCATTTTTTCACTAAAGACAAAAGGTGAATGTAGATAAATATCTGGAACTTTCTTCTGACTAAATGTATGCAAGGACTATTTTTTGTGTGTGTTAACCCTCACCCGAGGACATTTTCCCACTGATTTTTATAGAAAGTGGAAGGGACAGAGAGAAACATCGAGGTGAGAGAGACACATGGATTGGTTGCCTCCCGCACGCACCCTGACCAGGGCTAGGGAAAGAGCCTGCACCCCAGGCAGGTGCCCTTAATCAGAATCGAACCGGGACCCTTCAGTCCCTGGGCCGATGCTCTATTCACTGAGCAACACCGGCCAGGGCAAGGACTATTTTCGATTCATGAAGAGTCTACATTATTTTTTTCTTATTCTTACATATACCCCCCCCCCCCCATCTATAGCCTTTTGACTAAGCTGGAAAAATCTAAGCAAGTTCCAATCCAAATAGAAGGCGGGAGTCGCTAATTATATACGTGCTTTTCTCCATAAATTCAAAGCAACTGTCTCGCTTTTAATGTTTAAAAAAAAAAAAAAGAAACATGACACAACCATGAGTATTTCTTAAAGCTCTTTACTGTCTGGTGAGATAAACACTTTGCTCCCTTCATGCATCCTCCAATGTATCTGAATACATAAAACAAACACACTCACATTTTAAAACTTTCTGGCTATTAGGATGCTAGTTCCTTGGAGGCAAGAGTCCAAAATACTGGCACCACCAAAAAACCGTGGTCGGGAAAATTGGGGGTTGTCGTCGTAATCATATCAGACTGATTAAGGCTGTTTGCGGCTCCTTGTTGTGGGCGGAGAAGGCTGTGACTACGTTCTCATTCTTTGTATTGGTCATAGCTTTTCCTTAGTCTTATCTTTGTATAGCCGCCTTCCCCTACCAGTGCAAACGCAGCCTAATTTGGGGTCTGAGACCCCTTCTTACATAAGGACCAGCCACAGGAAGAAATGATTGTTCAACCATTCATGTTCCCTGTGGTTTTTTGTTTGTTTGTTTTTAAGGTTTTTATTGATTTCAGAGAGGAAGGGAGGGGGAGAGAGAGAGATAGAAACATCAACGAGGAAAGAGAAATTTCTATCGGCTGCCTCCTGCACGCCCCCCTACTGGGGATCGAGCCCACAACCCGGGCATGTGCCCTCGACTGGGAATAAATGAGGCATGCGGCCCGCAGGCTGCGAGTTTGACATGCTTGACAAAGAAATAAGACACTTGAATTCTCAATGTTTGTAACGTGTTAAATCACAGTGTATTCAGTGATTATTTTTTTAAAATATATTTTATTGACTTTTTACAGAGAGGAAGGGAGAGGGATAGAGAGTTAGAAACATCGGTGAGAGAGAAACATCGATCAGCTGCCTCCTGCACAATCCCCACTGGGGGTGTGCCCGCAACCGAGGTACATGCCCTTGACCAGAATGGAACCCGGGACCTTTCAGTCTGCAGGCCAACGCTCTATCCACTGAGTCAAACCGATTGGGGCTCAGTGATTATTTTTATTTTTATTTTTTTCATTTCCCTTGACATTGATAACCATCAATGAAGAGAGTGTGGAATATGTGGGCACATTTTTTAAAGAGCCCAGCACTACCTTAGTTTTCCCTGTTGATTAACAAGACAGTTTGGTTCACGGTCACTCCCACCGTCCCAAGCTACCGTGCAAGTCAGGACTGCGTGTACTAGTATGTACGTGTATACATTTATGTAAATATGTGTATAGGTGTGTGCATGTGTCTACACACGTGTGTATGTGTAATTAAGTGTGCATGTGTGTATATATATACACACATTCTATACCAGTATATACATGTGTATACACACATTCTATACCAGTATATACATGCATATACACACATTCTATACTAGTATATACATGTATACATATATATATGTGTGTGTGTGTGTGTATATATATATATATATACACACACACACTTTATATATGCAATTTATATGCACATAAAATCTCCAGCCACTCTCGGCTGAGAACACACGTGACGGTTGGAAGCCTTCGCACGGCCATTGTGAATGTAAAAGCCCCTCTCCTGAGCTCCGGAAGCCTGTCCGGGGGGTCTCTGGGGGACAAAGGGCTGGTGGACAACGACGCTTCGGTC